AGAGAGGAGGAACTGGAAGTCCTGGACCCAAGGGAGAAAAGGTATCTTCCCTGTTTACTTGCACCAATAGCGGGATTATGAATACGATTGTGAAAATGCGAAATCGGCTAATGACGTTAAGTACGTGTCACCACGTCGTAACTGACTTACGGTGACCCCAAATGACATTCCACATCCCAACCAGCTACTTAACCAGATCAGGGGTGCACAGTTTTTTTTTTAACCTGTGGGCACCTTTGAAAATCCAACACATTGTGGTGGGCGCAGCCACAAAACGGCTGCCCCAAAACGGCCTATCACTGTCTTCTGCCAGTGGGTGAACATTTTTCTGTTTTGTTTGGCCTTCCCTCACTAAGTTTCAGCAGAGTATAATGCTGTACAGTCTACCTTCCAAAGCAGGGGGACTGATCTCTGTGGACTGGAGATCAGTTGTAATTTATTTGTTGCAGCAATACCCTCGTCATTTTTGTGCTATGCTAACACAACTGTCTTCTGTTCAACAGGGAGAGCCTGGTTCCAGAGGGGGTGATGGCATGCCTGGTAAAGATGGTGGAAGGGTGAGTAGAGCTCATCACTTCCATTGAATAGGTTCATAGCAGCGCACTAGACCGTTATACTACGGACCACCAAATGCATTCTGGCAAGCAGCCGCTTTCATCAGTGTGTTTTTCTGCCCAAGAGAACTAAGCCCGATCGTACGAAATGACCATATAAGCGTGCATATCATGCCGATCAGGTGAATAAGTAGTGTGCCGCTATCTTAACTGGTAAGGGAGGTTCTGATGATATGTTATATTTCATTCATAATGGTATTTCTCTTGTCATCTATTAAATGTATATCCAAGGAGTAGCGCCAGTGTGGCATAGTGGTTGAGAATGTCAGACTAGGATCTGGTAAGCCCGGGTTTGAATCCCCACTTGTCCCGCGGAACCTCACTGGGTGACCTCGGGCCAGTCCCACGCTCTCGAACTGACAACTCTCAGGGTTGCTGTGAGGATAAAAGAGAGGAGAGGCGAGCGATGTAAGACCCTTTGGGTCCCCGTTGGGGATAAAATCAGGATATAAATAAAGCAAATAAAGAAATACCCGGCCTCACTGTGTCGTTATCTCTCTGCCTCAGCCTTTTTCTTACCAGACCGGCTTAGTTGGGTTGAATTCTCTTTCCCCTTCTTTGTATATTAGTGATTCCCACCAAGATCCATGTGACTATGATGTTCTCTGAGTGTTAGCAGGTAAAGTCAGTCTATACCTGTCTTTGCCAGTGTCACTCAGCACAAGGGGGGGGGAACCTACTCTTCCGGGTGAGATCCTGGCCATGCGGGGATTTAATGCAATTCCACAGAGCCTGCAAAACAGAGTTGCTCCGCCAGGCTTATGGTTGAGGGCAGTGCTGGGTTTCCGTCTCTGATCGGCCACCTCCTCTTCCCTTCCCCTCCCCTTTTCCCATCATGTCAGACAGATTATAAATCACCACCACCACCCTGAGGATTTTACGCCACCTTTTGACTGTACCGTTGGACTGTATTTTGTTATAAGTATTTTATTATATTTACTGTATTTATTGTATTTTGGACTTATTAATGTATTAGACTGTTAATATGTTTTATCAGTGATGTTACCCGCCCCGAGCCTGGACACAGGGGAAGGAGGGCTTTAAATTGAATCAATCAATCAATCAAATCAAGTCATCTATTTATTTATTTATTGCATTTTTATCCCACCCTCCCCACGAACGGGCGGCTTACATTGATGTTACATTGGTAACATCAAGATACTGGAAAATAATCCATCAAATTACCAATGAAATAATTTGCATCACTTTTGGATTCTAGATTCTTGGTGTTGTCGTAATTGACAAATGTCCACACCTTCTATTGATAACAATTGCTATGTCTTTGTTTCTATCCTTGCAGGGTCCCGTAGGATCCATCGGACCCCCTGGTCCAGCTGGCCAATCTGGTGATAAGGTATTGGCTTACTCTAAGTTGAGAAATTGTTGTTGTTGTTGTTGTTGTTGATGATGATGATATAAGAGTTACTTGCTCTTATTGTATAAACAGCCATATTATGAAGCAAACATTTTTCATCTTTTCTTTCAGGGAGAGCCCGGTTCAGCCGGACCTCCTGGCCCAACAGGTCCTCGTGGTGGCCCCGTAAGTGATGGAGCTTTGTGTGTGCAGTCATAATCCAAAATTGTATCATCGTATACCAGAGAGTCTTACTTGTGCTCTTACCATGAATTTACTCAAGAAGTAATGGGTTTGGGTCAGTGATTGTCAGAAGAAGGTGGAAAGGGTGAGGAAGGATTGTCAGAGGAAGTTGCAGAGAGCCACAGACCTTTTCAGTGTTTCCCTTCCCCAAGCAGTTCCATCTGATCCGGGAAAACTTATTCCCGGAGTCAAAGAACCCCCAAGTACTTACAGTCACATATTATGGTATACTGCATTGTGGAGTTAGAAGGGGCAAAATCACTCCTTTTGCTTTGTCCATCAGACCATATACATTTTTAAGCAAATGCAGAAAATCCCAAACAAATAAAGACACTTTGTTGGTGTAGTACAAAGTTGTTTTAGTGTCAGTACGCCTTTGTAGTGTATTGTGCAGTAGTGTCTTCCAATAAGCCACTTAACTCTTGTCACCAGCATGACTACCCTCTGAGCTGCGGTGGCTCAAGTGGTTAAGACGCTGAACTGCAGGCTGTGGAAGGTCAGTAGTTCAGCGGTTCAAGACCCGGGTGCCGCAAGACAGGGTGAGCTCCTGTCTCTAGTTCCAGCTCCTGCCAACCTAGCAGTTCGAAAGCAAGAAATTGCAAGTAGATAAATAGGTACCACTTCGGTGGGAAGGTAACAGCGTTCCGTGCGCCTTGGTGTTTAGTCATGCCGGCCACATGACCACGGAAACGTCTTCGGACAGCGCTGGCTCTTCGGCTTTGAAACGGAGATGAGCACCGCAACCCTAGAGTCGGATTCGACTGGCTTTCGAGCAAGGGAACCTTTACCTTTACTTTACTGAGAGTCACGTATCCATTGGGGTGATGCGAATCCATAGGGCCTCCTGTTTCAGGGGACTGAATTCTTATCACTAACACTTTGGAGTCTAGCTAGACTGGAGTCCAGTAAAAACCAACTTTAGAAACCAACAAGATTTTTGGGTTATAAGCTTTTGAGATTCAAAGTTCCCTTTGTTAGATAAGGACATCC